AAACGTCCAATGTGATACAGTGTCAGTTTTAAATCTGTCTTCAAACAGGTTTAATTTTCCGTCCTGGTCATCAGAAGATTTCCTACAGTTCAGTCTCTCTCACAGGAGAAACTGTCTCAGTCTCTGTTTCTGCTTCTGCAGAGCTCACGTACATTTGTACATCTGTATGTTCCATACGTGTCATCTCAGTGTTTGTGAAGTGACGCAGTGACTGAGCTGACTGCATCAGGAGGTGGAGGAGAGGCTGGAGGGTGTGAGCCTGCAGACACTGTTCATGCTGGTGTTTGTGTTTCCAGCTGTGACTGTGCCACGAAAACTGAGTACTTTAACCTCAAACACCATGAGCAGGTGGTGTTTGTGCTTAAATAAAACCACACGTTTTTCAGACATAAAGTTTCAACATGTCCGCTAACAACATACACGTGTAACATATCGATTCAGGTGACTGTTGGTGATGGAAAACACAATCTATATTTTCTCCAGTGTAAAAACATTTCCAACATTTCGACAGATAAAAAGTGAGTCCTGGTGAGTCTCTGAGTCTGTGTGAGGAAACCTGATGTGGTGTCTGACTCCTCATGTTAACATGTTAATACACTGAGATCAGAGAAGAGTTGACCTTACTGTCAAACACACACTGATCAGTTCAGACAGTCCATAAATACAGAAATCAAAGGAGGAAGTATTAACGAGTGAGTGAATCATTAACAGAGCCGACATGTTTGGATCGCTGCAGGTCTGCGTCACGACACAGGTGTGACCCCACCTGGATCGTAGCAGGAACCAAACAGAGGCCTTCATGTGACCCAGATGATGACATCACAGGTCAAATAAACAAGGAGTAACAACAAATGAACAAGTGAATAAAAACACCGATTAACAGGAGATGAGACACAGACACGTGTCCACAGTCTGAGAGGGACAGAGACACTCAGCGTGTAAAATCTTTATCCTTAAAATTGTCGACGTCAAAGAAACCTTTTATCTTAATGACACAAAGACATTTAAACCTTTCTACAAAGGTTTTATTGTTTTTCTTTTTCTTTGTTTGCTTCTTTAACTCTCAGTTATCTATGTCCTCTCCATCGCTCCTTCACTGATCTGAAGTCATTTAATCCTCCTCAGCATGTTGAGCAGCGACTCTGAGAACAAACCTTGAGTTGTCTGAAGTGATGTGAGGTGAAGCCATGAGGAGAGCACAAACCACACATTACATATGAAGTGGGTCACTCCGACGCTTCAGACCCAACTGACCTGTTTTCTGCAGACTTCCTGTCAGCGTTCAGATACCTGAGAACAAATACGCACCACCTCAGCCGACCACAACTGGAACAAACCCCAACAAACTGTGAAGCTCAAACACGCTGACGTCTGTGCCACTTTCATATCATTTAAATACTGAAGCTGCTTTTTTACATCAGACTGAACCAAACAGTCATTTATGTCCTGAAGAAGTCTGGAAACTGTGTCGCGACGCCTCTCATTAACTCCACGTTATTAACACCACGTTATTCACCTGACGTATCAACAGTTTCAAACATGGAGAGCTCAGACCCAGTGAGCTGTGACGTGGTGGTTTGACAGTAGGACATGTGACACAGTGGGACATGTGAGTCTCTACATGTAGAGGACATTTACAGTCAGACAGTGGGACATGTGAGACAGTGGGACATGTGAGTCTCTACATGTAGA